GGAAGAAATTAATTTAACTTCTGTACGAATAATTTTTATGTAGATCGCTTAATTGGGAATAAATAAAATAAATTTTTACAATTATAACAATTGCTTTTTGCTGCTCGAGAAACTATTCGCAGAGCTTCGTTGAAATACATTAGTATTCATTTTAAAGTATTCATTTTTGCTCTCTATTGCGAGTAATTCGGCGGGAAAATAAACCACGATACAAGTCCATTTGCCTGAACGAAATTTTAGTTGCCAGCCGAGCAAATGAGTTTCTATTATGTAAACTTCCTGCAAGTAGTTTATGCACGAAGCAAGTACCACGGTAGCACGAGAATGGATTCTTTGAAAGACGCTGCAATCTTGCCGGATAATATTACCGTCACCGACTATCTACGAAACATTATTACGAGGTACCGCGTCCTCTATACATATATATATATATAACAGAGACGAGTTGCTTGGAACGTCGAAACCTTGAAATGAACTCTTGAAACACCGAAGAAAAGTCTCGAGTTTGTTACTATTTTTTGTTTTTCCTTTTTTTTCTTTCTGTCTCGAACGAGATCTGACATTTTCGTATGTCGTTTGTGTATGCTTCCTTGCATATTTTGGCCAATAGAAAATCTACAGAAAAGCAAACCTAACCTTCTTGCAGTGAGTGAAATCACCTCGAGTCCTGGTAATTGAAAACTTTTGAAAATCAGGCGAGAAGAATAAGGAATCCTACGAACGTTAATTTCAATGTTTGAAAACTATATGAAATATATATTATATAATTAAAAAGAAGAAAATCCCGAAGAAATACGTAAAATTGAAAAACTGCTGTCGACCGATCCTGCTTTGAAAACTGTACCCAGCTCATGCAAATTCGGAGCGGCGAGGTTATCAACGTAAGAGCATCAGGGGGACAGAAACAAATCACGAGTGGATGAGAGCAGAGGTGGCGTACGTACCGACGAACGGGTTCCCGTAGCGCGCCACGGCGTCCGACTTCCTGATCATTTTGTACACCATCCTGAAGTCGAAATTGAATCCCGTTTGATCCTTGCTGAGCCTGAGCAGCTTCAAAGTGATGGAGACGGTCTGGGTCTCGCTGTAGTAAATCGCCGGTCCCCAGGACGTCCCGCACCAGAGGCCACCGACGTCCGGCCGTTGGGCCTCCGAAATCTGCAGCGAACCGTCCGGGCATCCCTCCGCCGTGAACGACACGAATTTCCCCAGGGTGAAGCTGTCGAACGTCAACTGAAAATCGCAAACGTCGGTGAAACGTCTCGTCGAATTAGGCTGCTCCGCGTTACCGACCGAGCGACATTTGTTTCTCCAGGCAACGATCGAGACGCTTTGGTTTGGTTTCT